AAACTGTGCCTGCACCCTGGAGGAAATGTGCTGCAAGAGGGACAGCGGAAGTAGGTATAGACTGGGAAATTGATGCAGTCTCAAAAAGTGACTATTAGCTAGCCATGGAGAAATGTTGGGGAAGAGTTGTTCTAAGCAAATTAAATAGCAAGTTTGAATATGCCAATTACTGGCTGTGGGACCTCAGGCCTGTGGCTCCCTGTGCACCCCAGTTTTCTCCCTGGAAATGAGGTTGATAACAGCATCCACCTCACAGGGAAGTGGGGAAGAGTGCATGAGCTAATGCTGATAAAGGACTGACACAGTGGCTGGGTACACAGCTGGTGTTCAATAAATGATAACAGCTCAAAGAGATTAGATCTTGAGAGAAAATAGATATACAAGCCTTAAAAAAAAGAAATGGATTGAAATGATGTGGATAGCCCAGAGCAGTGCTTCTCATATTTTAACATGCACAGGATTCACCAGAGATCTTGTTCAAGCACAGGTTCTGATTCGGGGAGTCTGGGGTGGGACTCGGGATTCTGCCTTTCTAACAGAATATTGCCCAAATAACAAAGGAGCTTGAAATCAAGAAGGTAGATTTTGAAATACAAGTCATCATTCAATTTTGTAAAAAAAAAAAATAATTTCTCAAGATCTGAAGTAAGTACAAAGAGAAGCCAGGAGGGCTCTCTTGTGAAGGAACTGCCACCAGGGCCTCTCAGAGTGACCACTGTGCTGCGTCCCCCCATGGATCTTCAGGACTGGGTTGCTACAGACCCTACCCCCAACCCACTGGCTCCGCAGATGGGGAGGCTGAAGCCTGCAGAGGGGAAGGGACTGACCTAGGTCACCAGCCTTAGAGTCTATGAAGGAAGCTTTCCTGGGAGGCCAGGGGCTTAGGGATGGGGTGCTGTGGAGTTGAACTTGAAGGATGGCAAGAGATAGGTAAGAATGGGCCAGTTTGGTACAGACTGAACTGGTACTGTGATACAGTGAGTTTGAATCCAGCCCCTACTGCTTGCAGCTGTGACCTCTACAAGTTACTGGACCTCTCTCAGCCTCAGTTTTTTCATTCATTAAAATGCGGATGACGATGTCTTTTGCTGTGAGGGTTAAGTAAGGCAATGGATAAAAAAATTCCTGGCCAGAATGTGGGAGCACTGAAGGCTGGGGAGACCTCCTAGATGAAGTACACAGGACCTTCTGGGCTTACCTGGAAACATTAGATGGGTGTGGCTCATCCTGGGCCAGGGTGGCTGGTCTGGTAGGAATGGCCAGGCTTTTGTCAGTCACCCCATTTCCCAAGGGTTTCTCTACTGCTGACTCACTCAGATTTCACCTCCAGTTTCCCCAGGGAAAGAATGGAGACACAGACTGTCTCCAGGCATCAGTGTACAAGAAAAAGGGATAAAGCAGCAGCTACTTCATTTTGCTGGCCCAGGTCCATGGACATCAAGGATGGCAGCTGGGCAGCTATGCCAGCCAAATGCTCATTGGCACCTCTGAATCCATCTGGGATGCCAGGGCTTGGAGAGTGATTGATTGCCTGCTGTCTGCGGCTTTGACTCCATCAGGGTCCTGTCCACCTGCCAGATGCTCCTGATCAGGCTCTTGAATCAGACCACCTGGGTTAGAAGCCAGGCTCCGCCACTTACCCATGTATGATAGGGGGAGTTATTTACCCTCTCTGTGCTTCAGTTCTTCCTCCATAAAATGGTGATGTTAATGCCCATTTCATAGGGTGCTTTGGGGGACAAAGTGAGATAATCCACATGAAGTACTTAGTTTGGGGCTCATTAATTGTTAGCTATTATCATTATGTTATTTTTCAAAGGCCATCTCAAAAATTCCTCCTCCAGGAAGTCTTACTGAACTACACTAATCACTGAAAGATATTCTTCCTTCTCTAACCCCAGAAGGACTAGTAATGGCTTCTTACGTTGGGGTAGAGACGCCTGGGACTCCACCATCCCCAAATCTTAAGAGGTTGTAAATACTTTAAAGCCTAAAAGACAAAGAAGAGGAGACAAGGACAACCCCAAGGGTCTGAAGTACAACCCATTCTGATGTGTTTAATGTGTACCTTTTTGTTTACAAGTGCCTTTGCAAATCTGTGTTGTTTTGTCCACATGCATTTTTATTGTTATCTTGTTATAAGTCTCATTTGGTTGTTCTACTATTTCTGCTCAGCTCTGGATGTTTGAATACACCTGGTTCCTTCCTTGCTTCTCTAGTTGCACAGAGCCACATTTTATCCATCAACTCCCCAACATGGACACTTAGGTTGCCTCCAACTCCCAGCAACCACGAAACAACCAGACAGCAATGAGCATCCTCTTACATGTCCCTCTATGAGTCTGTAAGAGAAGGAGCTGGATTTTAGGGTCATAGTTCTCTGTGTTTAGTTTCTTTCATTACTGCCAGACAGTTTTCCAGAATGGTTGCCCCAGATTACTCCCATCAGCAGTGCACTTGGCTGAGACAGCTCCTCGTTACCCACCAACATTTGGCATTATCCAGTTTTCTAATTTTGCCAGTCTAACTAGTATAAGTCATACCTCATTGTCATTTTAACTTGTGCTTTTTTTTCTGATCTAGAATAAATCTGACCATCTTTTGACGTGCTTTCAGGCCTGCTAGGGTTTCTTTTGCTTAAATGCTTGCCCAGTCCTTGCCAGGCTATGGAGTTCTAGGGTGGGGACTGCCAGCGGCCTTGCGAGCACCTAGAGGCCCAGAGGCTGGGACAATCCGGGTGTGTGTGTGGCAGAGGAGACACGTCCTGAGGGATCTGCAGAGTCCAGAGCGGCCCCAACCCCCTGGATTCGGGTGTGAAGGCACAGAGCAGTGTGCAAGAGACTTACAGGGGGAGCCGGGATGGGGGCTTTAGGGGGTGGCCGCAGCAGCTGCGTCCACATCACACCCACAGGCCGAGGGGTCTAGGGGGCTGCTGCCACGCTCCCCAAACGCTCCCGCCGCCCACTTGGTGCCCTGTCCCCTCCGCTCCCAGGGCCCCGCCCAGGCGGACGCGCGAGTCGCGGAGAGGCAGGAGTGCGCGGGGCTGCGGAGCAGCGGCCTCGGGGAGGCTCAGGCGTGGGAGACGCAAGGCCGGGAGTGCGCGGCGCCGCGGGGCAGGGGGCTGG